CGTCTCTTGCCCATCTTGTCACGGCTCTCCGACACTTAATTCAAGCATTTATACAGTTTTCCAGCACTATCGGTTACCAGGAAGAGCCTGTGCTGACTGGTGACTTCACATACTTCCTTGCATACAACCCCCTGCCCCCAAATATAATGCACTACTTTTTTTTTTATTTTCTTTTTCCCCCTTCATTCTGCCTTCCAAAAACAAGATTGAGCCAGTTTATGGCTGCCTAGAGCAGGGACAGAGCCTGATCTTCAGCTGATTTTTTTCCCCCTCCCTTCTGTGCATAACTAAAGCTGAATCCCTAGCTGCTGCTGCAGACTGGTCTCCATGGGTGGATCTGGGAGAAGAGCTCAAGAGGCTGTGAAGCAGAGACCAGGAGCAGCTAGCAGACGGCCAAATTGCCCTCAGGAAGGTTTTGCCAGTCCAGCTAACATCAAGTCCATCAGAGAAGCACAGTGAACCATTAAATCCATGGCCTTGTTCGGCTGCCTGAGCAGTAGCACCACAGCTGCTGCCCTATGGAGCAGGATCCCACTAGGCTGCTTCTGATGGCGGGCAGAAAACCTGTTTCCTAATGTGCCTTCTGTTTTGGGGGTCCTGTTTCTTTTTTTGGGGGGGAGGAGAGCAGGTGCATGTTATATGTGAGGAAAATATAGTAGCAGCCATGTCTGACCTTGCTGTGGGCACTGGAGACCCTCTGAAACGAATCAGGTTGTGCCTTTCCTGCCTTCAGCACAGTGCCTTGGTTTGGTAGCTCTTGTCCAGGAGACGTATGAAGTGACTTCTTCTGGTGCAGAGGACAGGCTTTGTCCTGCAAATCCCTGCCTGGGCGAGAATAGCGCTGCATCAGGGCCTGGGTCTCTGGGCTTGCTTCTCGGAGGAAGTGACCATGGGGACAGGCTCCCCAGAGAGGTGGTGCAGTCTCCATCCTTGGAGGTGTTTAAGACCCGGGTAGACAAAGCCCTGGCTGGGATGCTGTAGCTGGGGCTGGTCCTGCTTGGAGCAGGGGCTTGGACCAGATGTGATCTCCCGAGGCCCCTTCAACCCTCCTTGTCTGTGATTCGGTGGTTCTGCATAGCTCTGGGCTTCCAAATCCAGATGTGGGTGGCACAGACTGCGTGCGTGTGGCCTCGACTTGCCAGCTGGGATGCGAGAGTCCAGACTGGGCTGGTTCCCAATGCAGAAGGACGGCTGGGGATACCAGCTCCAGGCAGGGGCGTCCTTGGTGTCACTGATGGACGAGCTCTGCCGGCCCAGGGTGAGGGAGGGAAGGCGACTTGGGGGTGAAGCGACTAGGTAGGGGCGGGCCTCTTGGAGGGGGTGACACTGCCATGGGGGCTCCCTGGAGCTGGGAAGCCTCTGGGGGGGCTCCATGGTCTCTAGTGCCAGTCTGGGGGAGGTGGGGTTGACTTGGACTTGTGCATGGAGCAGCTGCACAATGGAGACCTCTCCTTCCCCGTGCACGCCATGGCACAGTGCCAGTGTACTGGGGCCCATGAGCCCCAAGGGGGGGTGGTTAATGCCTTCATTGGAGCCTTAATCATGGTGGGAAAGTCGTGTCAAGCCCGTAAGTCGCTGCAAGCCGAGGAGACTTGGCCCCCTACGCTGCAGCCTGCTGGACTCACAGCTCCTTCTGCTCTCTCCCCAGATGGATCCGGCCACGCGTCCTGCGCCTCCACCCCCGGCGAGGACACGGTGCCCCCCAAGGCCATGATGCCCCTGCAGGCCTCCCCGACAGCCGACTCCGATTGTACGCCCCGTGGCACCATGGACCCCGGCGTCCTGGCCTTCCTGCCAGCCAAGAAAGAGGACCGGCCACAGCCCGAAGGCGCCAGCTGCGACGCCGCACTCGGTGGCAGCACGGCCGGCTTGACTGCCCTGACCGAGTGTGGCCAGGTCCTCCTGGAGACGCCCCCCAAAATGTGTCTGGCCCCCAAGGGCTTGCAGGAGGCGCTGGCCCTGGACATGCCCGACACGCGGATAGTGATGGGCGAGGAGACGCGATGCAGCAGCAAGGAGGAGGAGGCTGGCGCGGAGCTGCAGGGCTTGCTAATGGGCGCCAAGGCCGAGGAGGTGGCCTTGGCCGGAGGGGAGTCGAGTGACCACGAAGACCCCGGCTCGGAGGCGGCTGGGAAGCTCCCGCCCCAGGCGATGCCGGCAGACTGTCCCAGCCCCGTACCAAAAGCCTCGGCTCATGGCCCCACGTGCGCCAGCCAGGAGACGGGCGAGCTCGGCGAGGAGCTTGCGGACGTGCCGCTTTCTCAGGGTGAAACCACGGCTGATGTGCCTTCCCCGTTCCCCGCGCCTGCCAAAGACCCCCCTGACGAGGTGGCCGGAGCAGAGGTCCCGCAAGCCAAGCCCGCCAGCGGCCTGGACCCCGACCTCTACTTCACGGCCCCCTCCACGCCAATCAAGACGGTGTTTTCCCACCTCAAGCACCACCCCTACGCCAGGGACAGCCTGAGCGAGGAGCAGAACGACATGGAGAACGAGGGGCTCTGCTCACCGCCCACCTCCCCCTCGGGCTCCTACATCACGGCCGAGGGGGGCAGCTGGGCGTCCTCGGGCACCTCCAGCACGTCCCCGTCATGCTCCCCCAACTTGATGGCCGAGTCGGAAGCCATGGAGACCCCCGCAGTCTACGGGGAGTCGCTGGAGGAACCGGCGAGGTTTCCCACGAGCTCCTGCCAGTCCCCTGAGGAGGAGGAGGAGGAAGAAGAGGAAGAAGAGGAGGGGGACGTGACTTTTGATAGACTTTCATCCGGAAATGCAGCTCCCCTCTCGCTGCCGGCCGAGGAGGAGGAAGCTGATGGTCAAACCACCCCGGAAGAAGAAGAGTGGGACTCTGAAACTGCTACCTCTGTTGCCCAGGTCCCCTCCAAATTGCAGCTGGAGATGTCAGGTGAGCGGCTTGTGGCTGAGGAAAAAGACTTTGACTTGCCTGGGCCTGAAATGCAGCCCCTGGAAGTGGACATCCTCACTTTGGACCAAGAGGGTGCCAGGCCTGCCGCCAAGGAGCCCGCAGCCGGCGGCTGCTCGCCCCTGGCTTTCCCCGGGCTGCACTCGGAGTCCAGCTGCTCCTCTGAGGCGGAGACGCCCAGCAGCCTGCAGGCAGAGACCACGGCCTCCTCGGCCGAGCTGCCGTCGGACTTCACGGAGAGCACGGACAACGACCACATGATCCCCGCTGTGCTGCTGCCCTTCCGCGGCAGCCTCCTCTTCGAGGCAGAGTCAATGGAGATCACGCTGTTCCCGCAGGGCGAGGTGGCGGAGAACGACGTGGTGTACGGGGTGGAGGACGACGACAGCACCTCGGCCTCCTTCCTGCACTCGCTCTCGG